TGCATTGAAAGTTTTTAGTTACTTTGCCCCTTCCCACTTTCCTGATAAACTCTTAAGAGACAGAATCCATATTTTATTTATCTTTCATTGTTTAATTGCCAAACACATTGTTTAATTGCTAAAAATCTAGTGTGAAATGGGCACTCAATAACATTTAATAGAAAAATTATAAGGAGGGTCTTCTATTGGGCTTTTAATGATGACTTATCAAATTCTTAGAATTGTAAGCATATTTTCTCTATGTCAGAAAGGTTTTATAATGCTAGAATCTCTTGTACAATATATACTCCTGTTATTTCTCTTGTCCAAATACTGAATTATGAACAGTGAGGACACAATTAGCCATTACATGCCAGTTACATAGATTTCCTTCTTCTTATATGACATTAGGTGTAGGTTACTGTCTCCTTCCTATGCAGTTGGGTATATAGAAAACCTATGGTCAGTATAAGATGGAATGCCTTCAATGGTACATATACTCGTTTAATAAAAAGCATTTTTACTATTTAAAAATGCAGACAATTAAACAAACATTCCTTTGCTTACAAAAATTTTGAGCCACTCTTACTTCCAAATGAAGGGTTTACATAGAAACTGTCATAACATGGTGAAAACTTTCTTATTCCAATACCATACGGCAAGGATGTCAAACTCCTGAAATTTATGCCCATGTTCATGAATAAGAACATCAAAATATTCTGAATCACTTTATTAACAACTTGAATTTTACAATAAATAATATGACTAAAACAATTCATTTGAAAATACTTGTTCCCCATTTCCAGATTTTAAAACCTCATTAAAAGGAATGTTTTTATCCTCTTGTCTTAGAATCTACTGCCTTAAAGTGTTCTGCCATTTCTGGAATACTTTTCCTCTTTAGGATAACAACCACTGTTCTTTCAACCATTCTTAGATATCCTTGAGCATCATTCTTGTCTTAAGATTTAAATGTTCACTACAAATGCATTCTTTTCACTAGTTTGTGACACAGAAAACTCAAGATGCCCTTTGTTTCAAATTTAGTCTGAAATCAGCCACAAAGACTTAAGTCAAATCTGAACAGATGAAAGTGTGAGCAGGATACAAGATCCAGGCTGTTCTACAAAGTAATAATAGTTAAAGCTCTGTGAATGAACGCAATCTCTTTAAGAGAATGTGTAGAAGAAGACAACGCTGGGAACTGGTAAAGAAGCCTGAAAGAGCTCTGAAGGACAAGGTGAAGGGAGAGCATATTGTGTAAACAAAGCAGGAGGTCACACATTAAACAGGAGGTGTGTTCAACCGAGCTAAATGCTGAGATATAGACCCCAAAAGACTTCCGCTTTAAAGATTACATAAGTCAGAACATTGTTCAAAAGCATAGCTATGCAGCTTTAATTATCTCTATAAAGTTGTGTTTCTTGCCAAATTGCCAGTAAGTTAAACATAAATAAAGAAAAGGACCAAAAAAAAAAAAAAAAAAAAAAAAGGAAGAAAATCTGCATCCATCTTTTCCTACTCCTGATACATTTTACTCCCCCATCCATGTGGGGAACAAAGGCTAAAGAAACAAATTAAATTTCCTTAGTACTTACAGCCCATTGACAAAATCCTTGAAACAGGCAGAAATGACCACCCTCCAGGAACTCAGCTATCTCAATGTTGATACTTTGCTAAGGACAAAAGGCCATCTTAGTTTAACATTTTCTCCACCTCCAGGATCCTCTAAATCTCCTTTAACATATAAAAATTCTTTTGGAAACTCCTTTATCTCTACCCTCCAAGATATATGTTAACAATCACCCTCCAAGCATATGGCCCACTGATATACATCTGAAGGGTCTCACAACTAAGGTTTTATTAGACAGTAATAAATGACCTTTTCCTAAAAATAGCTAGCCCTCTCAAGGTCCTGGAAACCTTGCTTCTAAAATTCCTTAGAGACTTAACACTATCCCTAACCCCCTCCCAACTTGAAAGTACATCATCAGTCACCCATCACAATCCCAGTTCAGCTCTTTCTGCCCATGGCTCCTGTCTTTGTGCTTTAATAAAACAAATATTTGCACCTAAGATAGCTCAATAATTTTTTCTTCACTGTTTGCTCTGAACCCCAACATTTCCACATCACCCCAGAGCCTCAGAAAATATCTTTTGCTCTGACTAAATGTTATGCTCCTACTTGCATTTTAAACTAAATGCATCTAACAGATGGAGATCTTCCTATTTTGCTTCTTTTTTAAATACAAAAGTGATATTCAGATTTTTCTCCTAATGGTTCATGTGCCATCAACATCTCAATGACTCGTCAGAAAACAAAGAAGAAATACCATAGATAGACCTTGTTGGAGCACCTGGGTGGCTTAGTTGGTTAAACATCTGCCTTTGGCTCAGGTCATGATTCTGAGGCCCTGGGATCAAGCCCCACAATCTTGGCCCCCCACCCCCACCCCGTGCTTGGGCACATGCTCTCTCTCTCAAATAGATAACTATAGATAGAGATAGATAGAGATATTGATATATCTATATAGATAGATAGATATAGATATACAGACCTTGATTAAGAAGTGCTTTATTATTTTATTTATGGAATATATTGAATATATTTAATGTTTATAATGTTTAGACATATATATGTCTATATATATACATATATGTCTATATACATACATACATATATATACTTATGCAATTACGATTCTAGTGAAGAGTCATTCACTCAATATTAAAAAGGAATATCCAAATAGAATCCTTGATTTTCCCACAGTTAATAACTTCTTTAAAATTTTATTTTGAGATTTCATGATTAATGAAATCATTAATGAAATTAATGAAAATTAATGAAAAATTAATGAAATGTTAATGTTTCATAATTAACAGTAATAACACACCATGGATTTGCCTAGTTATACAGCTTTTTAAAAACAAGTTATTTACACATCATATAGAACCTCAACTTCAATCATTAACTCCAACTACTTCATTTTCCAGCTAAGAAAAATAAGAACTTGGGTAACACAGTCCCCTGTGTCCCCTGGTAGCTGAGTCTTAAATTGAGACTTGACATTGTTCCTTAGATTCAAATTTTGCTATTTTGCTACAACACTGATACTAATATTATAAACAAATTTGAGACTTTTTCTTTCTACAAAAATGTTCTTTGATGACTCAGAAAACCCCTAATTCTCTCATCTTCCCCATTTTAAAGACGGACAAATTGAGATTTATAGATAGGAAGTTCATTTGAAGAATGCCTTATAATAAAAAAATAAATGCATAAAAATCACTTTTTATGTGCACTTTTTAAGTGCACTTTTCTAGAACACTTTTCATGGACAAAATGTTTTTAATTATAGGTGAACAAATTGAAAAGAATGGAAGAACTTAAATGATGCACTTGTTTTTTTAATACCTGTTAACAGGTGCTAAAATCTGTTTGAATTCTCTGAATGAGGGTTTCAGTAGCCCACGTCTCATTATCATAAAACCCAAGATCAAAAAGACTATGAAATATTGAGTGTGATTTAGTTTTCAAATGCAAAGCAGCAGCTGGATTAAAGCACAAGGCTACTGGAAAAAACCTGGAGAGAAGCAACTGACATCTTTAGTCATCTGGTATGCTCTCAGACAATGAACAGACTGATTGGGTGTAGAAAAATGGGAAAATTCATCATGTTCTTATTCTAATAAGTTTCATCTCAGGAAACTGATATGTGGCAAGCTACAACAGGTCATTCTTTTACTCAGCAAAGGAAAAAGAAGTGATTGATACTTGGAGGACATAGGTAGAAATAAATTGTTTTTGCTAGATTTATATTTACCCTTTAAATAACACTATGAAAGTTTTTAGTCCAAGACAAGTTTTTCTACAGCTCATATATATGTATATGTTTATATATTAATATATATGCATATACGTATATAAATATAAGTGTGTATGTATTTATTTATAGGAAGGAAAGAAGGATGGAAGGAAGGAAATTCAAACGAAGTCAGTCATCAATATATTACCCAAAGAAACTTACTTATGTTTTTTATTTAATATGTATTTTATATTACAAATAAATGAAAATTCAAAAGAAGGCTAACTTTACATACCATAAACATATGTAAATATGTGGGGAGCAGCAAAGAGAATAGTAAGAATTACCTCTGAAACCATAAGACACTAAGGTAATACAAACAAAGAATGCTTTAAAAAATTAAGAATGATATACTCCCAACTTTGATAAATGTTCAATATAAGAATAAACTATTTAGAGATAATTTTATTTGAGACAAAAGACAAAAAGATAATTTATTTGAGACAAAAGATATGTTTAAATGGTTAAACATATCATTTAGTATGCATTTATTAGTTATGTCACCTGATATCCCTTGCCTAATGATAATCATTGAATTTATTGCTAAGAGGACTGACTCTGTTTCTCTCGTAGCAGGAATAATTCTATCAAGCTATAGACCAGAATGTATTGAGGAAAAAAATGCACATAGTTACAAGAAGAAGAAAAAAGGAAAGAAGGAAGGAAGGAAGGAAGGATGGAGGGAAAGAAGGAAGGAAGGGAAATTAAAATTGCTCCATGTAATTGCAAACACCAGTGTTATTGTTTTGTTTGTTTGGGTTTTGGCTCTTCCCATTTAAAATTAAAAAAAAAAAAAAACCACCAACAACAACAACAAAAAAAACAAAGCATGGTCAGTATTAACTCTAAGGAAGTAGTATAAGTTAAGTATATGAGAAATATAATTGAATTGCGGAACAAGGAGGAAGAAGACTGGATTCAGAGAATAGCTAAAGTTTTAGCAGGTATATATAAGAGTAGGATACATCCTAATTATTATTATTAGCATCAATTAACAATATGGAGACAAGGACAAAAAAGATTAGTTTGAAGGTTACTCTTAAATTGTACAGGCATGAGATTTTTTTTTCTTCTTCTTTAACTGTTGTCTTCATGCTCCTAATGTCCTTAGTAATGGCTTTGTTTTGCTTCATATATATATATAAAACACACACACACACACACACACATATATACATATATATATATATATATATATATATATATATATATATATATACAGTAAAATAGTATATGTGTTTTGCAGAAAACATGGGTAAATGTTAGAATGTCCAGATTAAAAAAAATTACTAATTACCTTGCCCAGCTAGAGATTATCATTGTTAAAATGTGCCTATTATTTCTACCTTTTTCTTCTCTTAAGCAATGATTCCAAGTCTACATAATGAATAATCTGTTTTATTCTGCTTTCCCATCTGTAAATGCAGTTAATCAATTGCCTTCATCACAAATTTGCAAGGATAAAATGTGAAAATCTTTAGAGCAGTGACTGGTCTTAACTAACATGTTCAGGTCAAACAATGAATTTTTTTTTCAAACCAGTTATGTTTCAGCTACTGCTATAAGCCAAGGATAGCTAATGGAAATACAATGTGAAAATATCTACATTAAAAAAGAAGAAAGATCTAAAGAGTAAGGTAAACAACCTAACTTTAAATCTCAAAAAACTAAAAGGAGAGCAAACTAAGCCCAAAGTTATAAGATGGGTGGGAATAATAAAGATTAGAGCATAAATAAATAAAATACAGAATAGAAAAACATAAAAAAACAAAGAGTGAAACTAGGAGTTTTCTGAAAGTTTTTTTTGTTTATTTGTTTGTTTGTTTGTGTTTTTGTTTTTTAATGAAAGTAAAAAACCTGAGGTAGGCTAATTAAGGAAAAAAGAAGACAAAATCAAAAATGAAAGAGGAAACATTAAAAATGATGTCAGAAATTAAAAATATCATAGAGAACTGTTATAAACAAGTATATGTCAATAAATTTGACAATCTAGAGGAAATGGATACATTCTTAGAAAAATATTACCTACCAGAATTGAATCAAGAAAAAACAGAAACCCTGAATAGACCAATAACAAGTAAGGAGATTGAATAAGTAAGCAAAACTTCTCAACAAAGAAAAGTCCAGTACCATATGGCTTCCCAAGCAAATTCTACCAAATATTTAAAAATTAGTACCATACTTCTTAAACTCTCCCAAAAATAGAAGAGGGAATACTTCTAAACTCTCTTTATTAGGCCAGTGTTCCCTTGATATCCAAGCCAGAGAAAGGCACCTCCAGAAAGCACAGCTACAGACCAATATCCTTGATCAATCAGACCCCAAAATCATCAATGAACTATTAGCAAACCAAATTCAATGACACATTAAAAGGATTATACACCGTGACCAACTAGGATTTATCTCTGCAACACAAGGATGGTTCAATATATGCAAATCAATCAACATGATCAACCATGTTAAGATAGTGAAAGAATAAAATTATATGATCATCTCAAAATATAAAAAAAAAAAAAGTTTGATGATACCTAACACCCTTTCATGATACAAACGCTCAACAAATAAGGTATAGAGGAGAGTTACCTCAACACATTAAAGGCTATATATGAAAAGCCCATACCTAATATGATACTCAAGAGGGTTAAAACTGACAGCATTTTACCTAAGATCTGGAACAGGTCAAACATATTCACTCTTGCCACTTCTGTTCAACATGTTCTGGAAGTCCTAGGCAGAACAATTAGTCAAGTAAAATAAATAAAAACATGTCCAAATTGGAAAAAAAAAAGTAATCTCTCTTCACAGATGGCATGATCTCATATGCAACAAAAACACTGTTAGAATTAAAAAATAAATTCAATACAGTTAAACAATACAAAATGAACATAGAGAAATCATTTGCATCTCTACATACGAAAAATGAACTATAGAAAAATAAAATTAAGAAAATAATACCATTTACAACTGCATCAAAAAGAATAAAATATTTGGAAATAAACTTAACCAAGAAGGTGAAAAATATGTTTAAAATAAATGCAAGTAAATGGAAAGATATTCCATATTCCTGGATTGGAAGAATTAATATTGTTTAAATGCCCATACTTGCCAAAGTGATCTACAAATTCAGTGTAATCCCTATCAATATTTCACCAGAATTTTTTATACAAAGATAACAATTAATCCTAAAATTCATATGCAACCCCAGAGACTCCAAATACTCAAAGAAATCTTGAGAAAGAATAATGCTGGAGGTGTTATGGCTCTGGAATGAAAACAGACATATAGATCAATAGAACAGAATAAAAACCCAGAAATAACAACACACATATATGGTCAACCACTCCTTCACAAAGGAGCCAAAATACACAAAAAGGAAAGGATATTTTCTTCAGTAAATGATGTTGAGAAAGTCACATATAAGCATTCAGAAAAATGAAATTGGACCCTTATCTTACACCATATTCAAAAATAAGCTCAAATACATTAAATGCTTAAACATGTCGACCTGAAACTGTAAAACTCCTAGAAGAAAACATGGAGGAATAACTTCTTGACATTGATCTTTTCTGTTATTTCTCTGATGTGACATCAAAAGCATAAGAAGCAAAGCAAAAAATAGACAAGTGGGACTATGTCAACCTAAAAAGCTCTGCCTAGAAAAGGGAACAATCCAGAAAATGAGAAGACAACTTATGAAATGTGAGAAAATTTTCCCAAGCTGTATCTGATGAAGAGTTAATATCTGTAATATATAAGGAGCTTCTACCATTCAACAGCAACAACACAGCCCAATTACAAAAATGAACAAAGGAACTCAATAGACATTTCTCCAAAGACATGTAAGTACCCAACAGGCACTGGAAGACATCCTCAACGTTTCTAATCACCAGGAAAATGCAAATCAAAATCACAATGAGATATCCCCTCAACAGCAGTTAGAATGACTTTATTTTCAAAACACAAAAAAAGTGTTGGCAAAGATAGGGACAAGAGACAAACATTGTATACTGCTAGTGGGAATATAAATTTGTGCAACCACTATGGAAACCAGTATAGAGATTCTTCTGAAAATTAAAAATAGAATTACCATATGATCCACCACTCCCACATCTATGTATATTAGCATTGCAAATGAAATCATGATGCTGAAGAGATCTCTCTACCCCCATGTTCATTATTTACAATAGCCAGGAGATGGAAGCAACTTAAATGTCAATCTCCAGCTGAATGGAAGAAGAAAATGTGGTGTATATATCCACTGGAATATCATTCAGTCTAAAAAGAAGGAAACCTTACCATTTGTAACAATGTGGGTGAACCTAGAAGATATTACTCCAAGTGAAATAAGTCAGATACAAAGGAACAAATACTACATGATACCACTTACATGAAGAGTGTAAAGTAGACTCATAGAAGCAGGGCGTAGAGTGAAATGATGGTTGGCGGGGACTGGAGGGAAGGGAAAATGGGAAGGTATTAATCAGGAGGTATAAAGTTTCAGTTATATGAGATAAAAATGAATCCTAGAGATTTACTGTACAGAATACTGCCTATAGTTCAAAATACTACATTGTCTACTGAAAAACTTGTGAAGATGATAGATCTTTGGATAAATACTCCTATCATACACACCATAATAATAATGAACAAAGAGCATAGAAGGAAACTTTTGGAGGTGACAGATATGTTTACAGTGTAGATTTTGATGATAGTTTCATGGATGTTTACTTTTCTCCAAACTCATCAAATTGTATACATTATATAGCTTCTTATGTGTCAATCATACCTCAATAAAGTAATTAAAAGAAGTATAATATATGTCACAACTTTAAGCCAATTATATAACCTTAACTTTTTTTTTTTAACCAACCATATAAAAAATGTAGAATGAATCAGGTAAAAAAGTATAGTAATATATTTTATTTAAATAAACATATCCACAATATTATCATTTAGCACCCCACAAATATGATCATTATTAACATATTTGACATGCTTTTATACCAAACATTCAAATTTTGGTGTGTATTTTATACTAACAGTACATCCTAATAGGAAGTAATCACATTTTTAAGTGCTTAATAGCCTCATGTGGGTAACTGTTGTAGTCTTGGGTAGCAAAACTAGCCACTGATGATAAAGCACAAAAGGAAACAGATACTGACCCCATCTTAAAAGCAGATGCTGCAGAAAATTTAAAAAAAAAAAACAAAACCATGAAACTGAAATAGGGTAACATGAGTAGTAATCAGGAAAATGGAGACAGGTATTTCTTTAGCTTATACAAGGAATCTCTGACAAGGCAGCTAGCCCTTACAACGAGATTTGAATAATTTAAAAAAAGAAAAAATGGGAGAAGAAAAGACCCAATTAAACACAAATCTACTGCCATGCCCCTGAAGGAAAAACAAACAAACAAATAAACCAAAGGGGAAATAACCCAGTCAGGTTGGTTGAAATGGGCTAGAGGAGGAACTAGAAAGTAGATGAGGTGAGGAGAAATACTGAATGCAGGTCAATAGGGCCTTAGCCCCCAAGATAGGATACTTGGGCTTTATTCAGTTTGCCATGAGGTCACAGAGGGACAAGCGCAAGGGGCCGACAGGACCTGCTCTGTGATTTAGGAAGACACTACTGGTTTCGAAGAATGAGTGAGCTGCAGGGTCAGAATGTGGAAAAAGTGAGTGGCTTAAACAATAATTTATTTTCTTATAATTCTGGAAACTAGAATTCTGACATTAAGGTAATGGCAGGTTGACTTCTTCTGATAGACTCTTTCCTTGGCTTGGAGATGGCCATCTTTATCTGGTGTCTCCACATGGTCTCTCTGTGCCTATCCCCTAAAGTCCTCTTATAAGGACACCAGTCATACTGGATTAGAAACCACTCATAAGACTTCATTTTATTCAATACTTCTTTGAAGGAAGGCGCTATCTCAAAATATGGTTATACCCTTAAGTACTGAAGGCTACAACTTGAACATATGAATTTAGAGAGAGACACGAATCAGTCCATAGCAAGCATCACTAAATATTTCAAAGGTGTTCTGTGGATCAGAATTTGGGTATTACAATAAAAGATGTTATCCTGACTTCCCAATCAAGTTGTCTTATGAACCATCTCCCAAATACACTCTTTGTTCACCCACACACGCACCATCTCTTTCCTATAACTTACCAAAATGCTATTATATTTCAAGTCCCAACTCATGTTCTACAACACTTCTTAGCAAGATTTGGGTTGAGAACTAAATTTATCAAAACCCACAGCACATTGCTTCCTCCTTCACTTCTCTTCCTCTCCCCCGCCTTCCTTTTTTTCTTCCTATTTTTATCTCTTCTCCTTCACCCCATTCTACCCTTTCTTCCCTCTCACTGCCACTTTCACACTCTATATTATGAATGTTTTCCTGAGTTTATAGACATTACTTACCAATTATAAAATAGTTCTCCTAAAAAATATAAAATAATATAATTACTACATGTGATCCATCGTCTCAAAAAGTTTATGTTACTTACCAAATGACTATAAGCTCCCTGAGAAAAATACCTTCATGGTTTTTCTTTGTATCTCACATAGTGATTTGCTCAATATGGTGACAACTGCTTTATTTTTATGGACATACTATTTAAAATAATTGTTTTGGTGATAATAAGAATAGCAATAGAAATCTTCCAATTACAATCTTTTTTCCATAAAATATGCTATTACACCAACTGGGAGCTGGTACATTTGTTTAAATTCTGCTCACACACCAATGGTCAATTATGTAGCAAGCTATCTTATCCTACGTTATTGTGTTCCTCTCTCTTGTTCAGAATCCTACTGAAACCAAAGCTCACATACTCCTCCAGCAATGCAATTTTCTTTATATCCTAACTCCCTGCAAAGCACCATAGCAGTCTGAGCCATAATTATATTTATCATAATGTCTACCTTAGCTCTTATCTCCCTTCCAAGATTGTCAGGTCTTGAGGGTCTGACCTAAGTTCTAGGTATCTTTATATCCATTACTGAAAGAAATATTTATTGTTAAATGAATAAATACAAAATAACCACTTGAACATTTTCTGTTTTCATATACACTCATACATTGTTAGAAGCCCTTAAAAAGGTACAGTTTTGAAATAAATGGTAGGAGAGTTTTTACCTGGTTTAATATAATCAGGAAGAGAATGAATAAGATTAGGACAGAAATAGCTGACGGTAATAAATATTGACAATAACTGACAATTTAAAAAATACATATCTGCCTGATCAGAGCATAGGGCTGGGAATCAACTGAGAATAATTTGTTACCAGCTCAGCTACTGAATCCTTGAGAGCTGACACACAGGTGAAATGAGAGAACGGTTATAAAGGTTATTAACACTAATGAGGACTATTTTTTTTAAGTGATGCTTGAAGTGGGGATTTACCAGATCAGGTAATAGAACTGATTGATGTATTAATGTGCTGAATATATCATTCATTTGTTCATTTAAAAATATTTAATGAGAAAATTTTGGGAGCTAGACACTGGGGATGTGGCAGGGAACAAAAAGATAGGATTTTACCTTCATGAAATTTATATTTGATTGGGGATTGCAGATAACTTAATGAGTAAGAACACTGAAAATAAAAGTAATAATAATTTCTACAAAGGAAATAAAAAAGTTGAGTATATCATCAAAAAGAGATTATTTGCTGAGATACTCTAAACAGAATAATCTGGAAATGCTCTCTGAGAAAGTGACATTTATTTGATCTCAAGGATCAAAATAGGGAGTTTCATTAAGATTTGGAGGAAGAGTTAAGGTTAAACATCCAACTCTTGATTTTGGCTCAGGTCATAATCTCAGGGTCTGTGTTCAGTACAGAGTCTGCCTGAGTATCTCTGTCTCCCTCTCCCTCTGCAACTCAAACCCCCACCCCCAATAAATAAACAAATAAATAAGAATTTACTTATTTAATTTATTTAAAAGAATTTGGAAGGAGAGAACTGACAGAACAATTATATGACTCTGACTCTATCTGACTGTGAAGCAGTTAAATATTTTTCCATGTGGGGAAAGAAAGTTGTCTTATTAAACATGATCACAGTATGCAGTGCTACGAAAAGGTGATTAAAATCTTAGCAGCATACAATACGAAGCTTCAGTTTAGCCCAGAAATCTGCGTCAGTCCAGAGTCAATGGATCTAGACTTGGCGTGGTTAGAAGAGGTAGTGGGTCTGTCCTGCATCTCATCCTTCCGGGGCCAGCAGGCTAGATTAAGTACATTCTTAAGATGATCGTAACAGAGGAGCAAGTGAGTAAACTGAGACAAACGTATTTCAAGCTTATGCCCAATCATGTGTGACGACATCCAGTTGTCCGGAGTCACATTGTTGAGCATAATGTCCAGAATGGAGTAAGTAAGCATTGTGAATATTTCTGAATAATAATATCTACCACGTGAGGGTTGCCTGGCTGGCTCAGTCAGTACAGCATGAGACTCTTGAGTCTTGGTGTCATAAATTTAAGCCTCACATTGGGTGTAGAGATTATTTTAAAAATAGTGAGGGGCACCTAGGTGGCTCAGTGGGTTAAAGCCTCTGCCTTCGGCTTGGGTCATGATCCCAGCGTCTTGGGATCGAGCCCCACATCGGGCTCTCTGCTGGGCAGGAAGCTTGCTTCCCTTCCTCTCTCTCTGACTACTTGTGATCTCTGTCTGTCAAATAAATAAATAAATAAATAAATAAATAAATAAATAAAATCTTAAAGAAAATAGTGAAAATGCCTACCAATTAAATGAGAATAAAGGTAAAATTTTGAGGATCTATTAGCACTCAAAGCCAGTCCTTATGTGTCTTTCATCCTGCCTTTACTATTTTACTATTATTTTGCTACACAGCATAAATGCATGCTGATATACCCTTACAAGAAGCAGGGAACACTACATAAAGCCATAGACACCTTTAGCAGAAGTTTGTTCTCAGATTGAAGGCGGAAATCACTGAGGTTTTACAATCTGCCCAGGACTCTGAACAAGGAATAGTTCTTTAGGGAGAGTCCTATGTACCCAAACTTCAGCTAAATTAGTCCTTCCAGCAACCTCAACACTTCAAACTGTAACAAGGTTTAAATTGAAACAAAGAAATTCTTTAACCTTTTATATGGCTTAGTTACCATTCACTGTCCATTTGGTGATAAGAAATTAATACTTACTTGAAAAAATATTAATTATCACTGGATTTGAACTGGGAAATGGCTTAGTTTAGGTGACATTTCACACTACATAAAATCTGTAATTTAATTTATGACATTCTGAATAGTTAATAGTTAGAATATTGAGTATTTTTTGAAGTTTTTTAAAAGATCTTATTTGTTTATTTATTTATTTGACAGAGAAGAGACAGCAAGAGAGGGAACACAAGCAGGGGGAGGGTACAGGAAGAAGCAGGCTTCCCACAGAGCAGGGGGCCTGATGTGGGGCTTGTTCCCAGGCAGATGCTTAACAACTGTAGGAGCCACCCAGGTTCCCCAATCTTTTGAGGTTTGAAGGCTGCTAATGTGAGATATAAATTTTAAATGTTCATGTAAAATATGTTTATGGCTTTTAAAATTAAGAGTTAACAAATGATGTAATATGTTAGTGAAGATGATGTAAAGCTTAAATATTGCACGATTTCTTAGGGTTTCATTATTTAAGGCTACAAATCTCAAAGAGGTGTTTGTAATCTAATGTTACTAAAAACCCAGGATTCAGGTTTGATATCTTCACAATGAGGCTACCATAAAAAATTAGTAGAATTCATAAGAATATTGTTAAGGTAATTTTAGCTCCGAAGCCAAACTTGAAAAAGGTAGACAGTTGTAGTACAAATTGAAGTCACAAGAGGGTAGTCTTTCCACAGGAAAATGTTAATGTTTTTTTGTTTTCCTGTTCCATCAGCACTTAACACTATTAAATTTCAAATTATAGAGACTATGTTGATTGAAGTTAGACTTTATGACTTACAATTTTTATAACCACAAGTATTTAAAGCTGTTTTGCTGGTGGGATAATATAATAAAATGAAATAAGTGGGAATAGACCATGATACATTTATAACCATAACACACTATTTCAGTAGCTCGGATTTCTTGCTTAAATAAGTAACATTTATCTAAGTAAATCCATTTTTCAAAGAATGGCATGTTTGTGGAATTTTTAAAGAAAAAGCAGATCGTCTCAAATCATACATAGATTCCATTAGTTTGGGTTAACTGTCTTCTTCTCTCTTTAGAACAAATATACATTTCCCCCCCACTAATTTGGTACGCGACTGGTTTTGTTTTTTATTCTATTTGAGTGCTTGGTTGAAACTATTTACCAGGATCTGTACCGAAAGAAAATGTTTATTCCTTTGTTGCCTTTAAATTTGAGTAGTCCAGTGTGTCAAAGCTCTATTGTCCTATAAACTAGGAGATGTTAATTTGCATCCCAGATCTCTTACTAATTAGCCAAGCAGTATAGTTTATGGAAACCAATGTGGTTCCACTGATTTCTTCAGTTGTTTTACCTGTAAAATAGAGCTTGAATATCTATACTTGGAGGTGTTTCCTTTACTTTTTCCTTCCCCATTCTTTTCTCTAACGATGATTTCTTCACGATTTTACACGGCGAAGAAGATCATAAAAAGCAAGAATTAATTCATGCTGTACCTGATTCGGTTCTTTTCTGGATTTGCTTTGATAAGGATATTGTTTTTCCGTGAAGCAGATTTAAATGCCAACTGATTTCAAACCAACAGTGTTTAAAAGCCGTTGGTTTATCTTATTTTTCCTCCACTGCTCCTTAAAATTCTCACTCAAAGCATGAAAGAACATAGAATCAGGAATCAGGACTTTAAATCAAAGGTAAAATGAGAGATTAATAACTTCCTTCTTGTCTCAAAAGCCCATCCCAAGAATTGTATGTACTAAAAAGAGTGGAGTAAATTATAATCTGCAATGTTAGCCCCCAGACTTATTTAAATTATACACTTAGCACACTGAGCAGTGAATTTCTCTTTATGAAGAAATTGAGTAAGGGGTGCGTGGGTGGCTCAGTGGGTTAAGCCTCTGCCTTCTGCTCAGGTCATGATCTCAGGGTCCTGGGATCGAGTCCCGCATCGGGCTCTCTGCTCTGAAAGGAGCCTGCTTCCTCCTCTCTCTCTCTCTGCCTACTTGTGATCTCTCTGTCAAATAAATAAACAAAATCTTAAAAAAAAAAAAGAAAAAGAAAAAAAGAAAGAAAGAAATTGAGTAAGGGGACCGCATGTTGGGATTACCTGGATGTCATTGCCCATGCTCCCTGTTTGCCGAGGATGAAGGCAGCTGTTTCAGGAGCTGTCCGCTTCTTCAGCAAGTGTAATATGAACAAAAGATGAGAGGCTGACCTTTCCAGCTCTAGGGACATGATTCTTCAGTCAGGGATGTGCAAATAGCCAGGCTTCTTGACTGGAGC